TATATTTTTTTATATATTTATGTATTTTGATGATTGATATTTTGCTGCATTCTTACTGGAACTTTTCTGTTCAAAGTACTGTGGTTGGCAGACCAGCAGTCTCTGTATGTATGACATATGTATGACAGTCTCCTCCTGTATGACATGTTTACTGTTTAGCAGTGAAATACCTTAATGATGTGAAGCAGTGAAGTGTATTTGCTTGCAAAAAATTACCTAGGGGAAAATGTTTTAGAAGACAGAATTGAGACCTAACAGGAATGAAAAAAAATTAAAGTATTAGTCTAGTGTGAGGAGGGGGTTGAAATAAAACTGACTAATGAAGAAATCATGAACATTTTGTGTCTTCATAGCTCTAGAAAATGTCAGTATTTCGTGTTTCATCCATTGCCTGGAAAGAATACCACGTTTATACATGACTTTCCTCTGATGAGCATTGTGGTGTTTCAGCACCGTTATATATGGAGATTGCAGATGTTAGATTTTCTTAAAAATATTGTTGCTACCCGAATTTTTTTAAGTGCCAATAGAATATATGTAATTATATTTTTTCAGAAGAAGGCTACAGAACCAGCCTTAACGCATTTTTCCTGTGAGCACTGTGTGGTATTGCCATTTGAAAATGTAAGACCTCTGATACAGTAAACTATATCATGGGAAACAAATTTGGTGATAAAAACGGGATAAAAACTTGCCTTTACCATGACCTTTACCATAATAGTTCAAATGTAGTTTAAACTACCCCTTGGAGCCAGGAAGTAGTGCTCTGTGAAATACTGTGTAGTTGGCTATAATTATTCAAAGGACTGTAGGGTTTTGAGGATGATGACTTTAACTCCATCTGATATATAATAGAATAACTTTGCTCTTTGTTGTTGTTGTTGTTCTTTCCCCCCCGCCCCGTGGACAGACCAAAGACAATTTACATTTCGTTCTCCAGATATTCCTTCTTCCTCAAATAGAATGACCCCCCCAAGTACAAGAAGTCCTTATATAGACGGTTGTTCTCCAATTAAAAATTGTTCTCCTATGAGGCTTGGAGCATGTAGAGGAACTGCCCAGTATCAGACTTCTGTCATTAGAATACCAATTGCAGTTGAAAATCATGGTGAGGATGAGGAAGACAAGGAAAATGCTTCTCCAGCAGAAGCTCGGTTCCCAGAAATGGATAATGGAATAAACGTGCGTCAGCAAGACAGTGATGCTTTTGCACGTGGTACGCATCTTGTCGTAGCAACTGTGTCTATTGCACCAGATCACTCGGAAGCTTGTCATCAAAGGTTGTCGTCATTTCACGATATAGAAGGCTCAAAGGAAAATAATACCGTAGATATGGCTGATGCAGCTGAAGTGTCAGAGGAAACCACTTGGATAAAGGAAACAATTGGAAATAGCAACGCACCGATGACCAGCTTTATGACGGGGATTACTTTCAGTATTGAAAACTCTCGCATGTGCATGTCACCTCTTGCAGAAAGCAGTGCGATTCCTTGTGACAACAGTAGTATTCAGGTAAAAATAAAAATCTTTTTTTTTTGTTTCTCTGTAAAACTGAGCTCAAAATAGTAACTTTTACTATGTATACCAGTCTGGAAGTAATTGTCTATTTTCTCTAATTGGATATGGCATTGCAGGTGGCATTGTGACATTTATTCCTTCCCCCTCACCCTCTTTTTCCTCTCTCAGTGACTCCACATAACAATTATAAATTATTTTTGTGTTACTACGTACGGTAATATGTTTAACTTAATCCAAGCTAATTGCTAATTCTGACAGACCTGTTCACAATTTGCTTTTGTTATGAACTGATGGTAGTTGGTTTGTTGGATTAAGTTCTGTCAATCAAATGGAAGTCATAAACCCCTCAGATTCTCAAACCTGTTATTGGCAATAAATTGCAGTACATTTTTAAAGCCCTGCTTCTTGATTTCAGGTGGACAGTGGTTATAATACACAGACTTGTGGAAGCAGCATTATGGATACTGCGGGGGCTGAAAACAGTTGCAGAGAAAATGATGTGAATACTAATGTGTTTCAGAATAAATCTCAGCTTCTTAGAACAAAGGTAGGAGTTAAACTGTGATACAAAAGTGATAGGCTTCCCATCTAAAGCATCTATTCCCTATTTTATTCGGTTTCAGGGAGCCTGAGTGAGGGGAGAGACTGCCAGGTGATAATAGAGAACATGTTAATGTAGCATCATTTCTAGTATTATGTTGAAAACAAGGAATAAGTGCAGTACAAATATTGTAACCTGGTAATAAAATTAATGTCTTGTATGACAAAGGCAAAGGTGATTTCAGGGGAAACTGAAGTATGTGCATAACAGGTAGCTGTGAGGCTGCTCATGGCTTCTGATGTATTGTGGTCTGTCCCTTATTTTTGTTTCTTTTTTTCTTGCTCCTTTATTTTTTTTTATTGGTAAGTTTTTAAACATGTGCCTGTGGAGATGCACATTTTTTTGGGAAAAATTGTCCACCATTTCTTTTCATAAACTAGCCTCAAGTTTTCTAGACCATAGCTGGCATGCTGACTTGGTGGGGAGCTTTGTGGTTAGGTACAGTCTTTTGATTACAAGCCCTTTGATGACCTATTGTAAAACCAAAACAAACTACAAAAGACAATACATGTCCAGCAAGGCTCCCAAGCTCTGAATCTTGTGAGTGATGGGAAGGAGTTCTACTTCTTCCAGAGAATGGGAAGCAAGGCTAGTTTCTTTGGAGGAGAGAGCAAAGATCACTTCCTCTCACTTAGTAATTATGGTCTTATGGTCTTAGAAACTTAATAGTTTATGGTCTGCCACTTGGCATTGTTTATAGTCATTGAAGGGGAGACAGTACTGGCCAGTAGCACCAGATTATAAAAAGGCTCGAGTTAAGCCCATTCAGCCCTGCTTTCATTTGTATATCTGAAATGCTCATAGCCGCTTCTCCGCCAAGGTAAAGAGCAGATTGATAGTGTCTTATAGACCATTGACATAAAATTTTGAACTCTCCTCATTTAAGATTAGGATAACTGTGCCCTTACAGGAAGAATAGCTGGATTTTTTATCTGTAACTTTTTTAAAACTACCGATCTGCGCTGAGGTCTTGCCCCAGTCACCCTGTTGGACATGGATTATACACGTGAATGTGTTCATCAGAATCCAGCCTGTCCTAGAGACTCGCCAATGCCATGCAGCTGTCTTCTCCCACTGCTAGTCTTCCAATTGCTATATCCTGACTAAGCTCAACTTTGCATTTTGGATTGGGATTTAAGTGTGGAGGCATTAAGTACTTCATTCAACTCTCACAACAGAGATCCCACAGAGAATGAAAAGAAAAAAGCGTGGACATTGATGGCTGAAAGAATCCAGTCTGGCTCATTCAGAGCGTGTGTGATCTGAAAGGAGGTTCTTGCTGACAGCATGTCTCGAAGATTTGTGAAGAGAAAACACTCTTTTGTTTCTTTTTTTATTTCAGAAAGGGAGAAATGGGAGGCTGAGGTACTAATTGTAACTTGAAATTTTCAGATAGTAAGTTTGGATCTTGTTTCTTTTGGGGAATTTTTGTGAAAATGGTTTTAAAATTAACTTTTCCTTATTAACCTAGGAGTGTTCTGCTTTAAACCATAAGGACAATCAGTTGCTGAGAGCAAAATCTCCAGAGAAGCAATCCTGTTTCCAAAAAGCAAATACACATAGTACAGTATTTGGTCAGAATACAACTTGCAACATTTCTGCCTGGAAACATAAAAATGAAAATCAAGTTCAGGGATTTCACAAAAATGGTATGTAGTTTTCTGATGGAGAACTTAAATTGTGTTGTCTAATAAATTTTTATATATATGACCTCAATTACCTGGATTATACATACTATTTTGCTTTTTTAATGCAAATGTAATAAATTGTCTGGTATATATTAAGGGAGTTTTTAAATAACGTGGGGTTTTTTCAGGTCTTGTTAACAAATTTATTGGTATCATAACGTGATCCTTTGGAAAATTAAGGCAGCTAGACTTGGTACAAAGAAACCATAGGGTTTTCTCAGAATTGTGTTCCTTCTGTGATTAGGGTAGATTCTGTGAGGAGGCTTGTTTTGAAAGCTTGGATATAACTTCAGCTTCAAGAGGAGGATTTTAGATAGACCGAGCAAACCTCAGGTAACTTGCATAGGAGATAACAAAACTGCAAAACCACCTGCATTTTAACACCCAACTCCCAAAGGCATGAGGAAAACTTTTATTCGGAGGAGAAAGAAAGGAAAGGAGTATTAGTTTTGATTTTGATTTCTTTTCCCCTGGTCGGATTTATTGTGTGGCTTCAGGAATACTAGCACTGGTACCAAAAAAGAGTTGCTGGACAGAAATGAACTGCTTGGGGGTGTGATGAGAGCAGGGCTGGGGTAACAGAGAGGGGTGAGTGTCTGTCAGTATTGGTCTAAAGTCACAGCAATCAAACTCAGCTGGGACTTCCATGAGGAAAGAATAAAACTGCAGCGTTCCAGAAATGGGTCTCTGGAATACGTGTATGTTTTATAGTAGACTGCAAACTGTTAAAAATGGGTGCTTTGATTTTAATACCAGCTACTCCTTTTAATTAAGTTCTCCTTGTGAACAACTGCATGAAAACTCTATTCCAGTTATGGAAAATACGTACTTCTCCACAATTTAAAAAAAAACCACGTTTAATTCTCTTAGTAATAAAATAATCTATATGTCAGAAGAAGCCTTTTAGCAATTCTTTGATCATTTTTTTTCCTTGGTTTGACAGAAATCAAGGAAAAGGACAGGTGGCAGAAATCTTTTAATAGGAAAATAGAATCTCTTCCCCCTAAACAAGCAGTCCTTAGTCTTAAAACTGCACATCCATCAGTTACCTTTACCATGTACTTAAGTAAGATGTATTATTGGTTACTTTAAAATTAAATGATCGTGTTGTTACTTTAGTAGTTGTATTAGTACTAATCTTGAAGTTGATCACCTGACTCCACCAGTGTCTCTTAAGAACACTTGCATCCAAATTGATGCTCCGGTACCCTTTCAAAGGAACGTAAGAAGGTGCAATAAGTTTAATTACTCTCACTACATCATTAAAAGAATGGTGCAGCCATCCTTCTATTAAAATAAACCATTACACTTCTACATCCCTTTAATGTGTAATTGCCAGTGGTATTACGTCTGCTTACAGAAATTACCAAAATATTTAGAAACATAATTTTTGCATGCCGTTTATTGCAAAAAGTATTTAAATAAACTCTTGATACTTTCAAGAAAACCATCGATGAACAAAAGTAATGGAATGAGGAGGGTGTGGAAGCCCAGAACTCCTTTTGCCCGATCAAATCAGATTTGCTTAAGTTTGATTGCATTTGTTTAAAAGAACCTTCTGAAATTCTTGTGAATGGGGGAAAAAACCCCATATGGTAATCTTCTAGCCTTAGAGACTAAGAGGGGGAAGAGAGGGAAGGGAAATGCTGAGGTTTCAGGGCTTTGTAGAGCTCTGAAGTAAACTTTGTTGGAGTAATCAAAAAGAAATCTCGTGCGTGCTTCAGGTGAAGTAGTCTTTCTGTCTTTTCCTAGCAAGGATACTGGAGGGAATTCTGCTCCCTGTTCTGTCCCACGACCCACAGAATGGCTTTGTACCGAACAGATAGACTGTGGCTGATGAGTAGCTATTAGCGCTCTGAGCCTCAAACAGTTGGTCAGACCTAAATTTGAAGGCAACTGACAACATTTTTAAAAAAAAAACTCAAAAGGGGATGTATGAATGGAATTACACAGCATTACAAAGAATGAGTTAGACCTGAGACTTGTGTGCGAGTGTTGTATGAATAGGAAAGTTCTTGAAATATTTTCATTAATAACTCACCAGTGGTGGCTTTCTGAGAAATATACTTGAAGGAAAAGGGAAACTTCTATACCATTGATAAAGTATCATTTGGTTTTAGTTCTCACATTGCAAAAATAATAATTAAAAAAAATGCTTTAGATTTCTAATCAGCAAGCATGACATGCATTGTTTTTTACTTCCGTAGCAATTGAATCAACATTTCTGTAACACGTATCTTATTGACAGCAATTGAACCTAACATCCTGAATTACATCCTATTTCATGATCTTGTAACGGTGCCCTACTAAAAGCTGGAAATACACTGAATTGATAACTTTTAGGGGAGGAATTTTGTTAGAGAATGAACTTAGACTTCTGGAAAATGAATTTATTGAATAGGGCATTCAGAATGTTCTTAGCTTTAGCTTGGAAGGTTTGTAGCTCAAAAGCAAGACACAGCTTGTCTGAGATTTAAAAGTTATTTTAAACTTCTAAACTCTTTCCTGTTGCTCATGATAATTCTCTTTAAGAATGATCAGTTGAAAGGGTGAATTTCAAATTTCTGGACTGTACAAAGGATTTATTTTTGCAAGTGTGATTACTAGAAATAGTAGCAATGTTAATGTAAAGGGAAAGATGAGAAGAAGCAGGGTAGTCCAAATTATGATCCGCTTCTGAACTGTTTGACCTATGTATAAATAAGATTTGATTTTTTAAAATTTTTTTTATTCTTTATAATGATATGTTCAATGATCAGAGGCTTTCAAAGTATTCAGAAATAAAAAAGCAGTCACTAAAATATTTAATTGCACCCTATGTAAGTATTTACTTAAATGTAAGGGAAAAGTAACAGCAGCAGTGGGTGAATGTGAGAAGTAATTAAGGATTCCTCTGCAATAAATTGTCTATATTTTCTGTCCTGTTTTACAGTCTTCAATAAGATAGGAATTATTTATTTTATGAAAACATGTTTTTTTATTATGTGTGCATAATTATTTTGTGGAAGAAACCTACTGTGCAAATTATTGTGGAAATCATTCGACCATTCTGTTCCTCTAGTTGTACTTGATGCATTGGTTGGCACATGTTGCACGAAACGGTCATTGTTTACAGTAAATTAACTTCAGTAGTTTTTAGCGAGAGTCCTTTAACACGTGTAATTGTAAATTGAGTAGTGAAACAGAATAAAGACGCCTCTTTCATACCTAGGTTGTTTGTATTTTCTTTGGTACAGCTTGCAGGAGCAAGACTTCATTTGAGTGCTGCCTGTAACACAGGTAGGTCCGTACTTTTTGGGTGGAGATCAGGGAAGGGGCTTAGCAGGCTTTTGCTCCTTATACACACAGTTGAAAATTATATATAACATATGGTGCTGAATTAAAAGTGCAGTACCAGTTATAGATCTGATGCTCTGTACATCTTTGTTGAAACTAAGTTTTAATTTTAAAGTTTCTTGGAGCCTTTTTAGACTAGTGGTGACAGGATTCAAACGTCTCATTCGCAGGGTGTGAGGTTTTTCTGCTGCAAACACGTTAATAGTCTCCTTTTGATGCCTTTTATAAATACCTACTTTATAATCTGATCCAGTCCTTCACAGTGATAACATACAGGAGGCTGGGTAAGTACAGCCAAGTGACAACATGTACTGACCAACTGTGCCCCACTGACTGCCCAAGGAAAGCCCTGAGGAGAAAGCAAATAGTATAGAAGCCTGTGAGCTGTGTAACTCTTTGAAGATCTCTTGAGGATCACCTGTACCTTGCAGGATGGCAGTTTCTTGGCTTGGAGAGCTAGGAACTGGCATCAGCAGAACCAGCACGAGTGCTGAAGCTAGAATGAACGCTATGGTAATGCTGAAATCAATAGCAACCACCTCCACAGAAGCTCGGTCTCCCTCGTCTCTGCAGTGGGAGTTCAGCGGCTGACTGAAAATTACTTCAGTCCTCACGGCACATAAAACATGCTTTATGAGTACATAGCCAGGCGACATAGCTTGACTGTAACAATGCAGTTCAAGGCTCAAAATGTTTGGGTTGTATTTTTGAGAATTCTAATAATTCTAACACCAGCTCAAGCTAGAATGGTCACTGCAAAACCTGTCATTACACAAAATTCCATGAGTAACGCAAATACAATTGATGGTTTCCATCCTGTTTTAAAGGCACTTCATCAGCGGCTAAGCAATGATCTTGAATTGCTTTAAGGTCTAGGACAGACTAATGCACATCTATGGTATGATTTCTCTCTCCATATGTGTATCATGCTTATGTACACACAGCTAACCTGGTGTGAGAGAGAACTTTCCCCGGCGGAAGTGTAAGTAAGTCTGTGGAATTTATCTTTCAAGAGTAAATTGTGTTAGCAGTTAAGACCAGTAGCTGGCATACTTACTGCTTTCAGTTCTGAGGTGCTAAACACACTGACTTGTGTCAGGCTCTCACATGGCCTTAAGGCTGTTAAAAATAAAAGAAATAGTACAATTCTTCCTTCGCTTTGCAGAAGCATTTATTTTCACCCACAAGACAAAACTGTAGACACATTTTGTTTTAAAACTATTGTTCACCTGCATACATATATTCATAAAAAGTGTTTTTTAAAAAAAGCCAGTTTTACAAATTATTAAAAGGTGTATTTAAAAGTAAACAAAATCTGTTTCTAGCATTTTGCCCATAGGGAAAAAAATATGTAAATACAAACAAATCATGTGTGACTTCCTATTAACTTTTACATCCAGCTATTTTTGTAGCTTCTTTTTCTTTTTCTCTGGTTCGTTCTTGCTGCTTATCTCGGTAGGTAGATTTGCAGGCGTATCACTTCCTAGTATCTACAGTAAGAAAAGAATTAGAAGTCAGAACACTTTTAACTCTATTTTAGCTTCCATGATCCTGATAAAACTTGAATTTAATTGTGCTGCTCCTGTCAAGCAGCGGCCCTGTGAGGCTCGGGACACTGCATAGCAAAAACACATTTAGCGTTGGCAGAAACTGGAAAAACTTTTGCAATAAATTGGAAAGAGAAT